GAAAAGGAAAATTTCTGCTTAGTTCAGGAAGGGGCATCTGGCAGGACAAGCTGCAAAATATACTCCTTTGCTTTAATTCTACAAGTGGGTAATGGCCATTTTATTGTCTGTGATAGAATACCCTGTCTACAAATTTCATTTTTGCAATCTCAAACTCTGCCTTTCCAAGCTGAGCAGCTCTTCTTCACAGCATGAGCACCATTCATTATACTATGGTCCAGGTCCTGTAATTACTCATTTGGAGGACTTAAAAGAAGAAAAAAAAAAAAGAAAAAAGAAAAGATGAGCCTGCTCTCATCCATATAGTACAAATTAAGACCTTTCCTTTATCTGACACTTTATGGGGCGCATTTACCTTTCCATTTTTTTTCCCCCCTAATCTATTCATGTCTGCCCCACTATCCATTGATCTTGATGGACTTCCTCCATCTTGGAGGTGACTCAAAGTTGCTGCCCTAGAAGCTGTGGAAACAAACTAGCAGGGAAGAAACCAGGAGTCAGAAAAGCAGCCCTAGGAAGTCATAAAATCAGCAGCTTCTCGTTGCCAAATGCCAGAACACAAAGTGCTTTTCATTGACGCTTGTTTGGAACACTTTTTGGGATGTCAGAATGAGAGCAAAATTTTGGATTACGGGCATGCGTGCTTCATCAGTGCAAGTTTTGCACATCAAGCCACCACAGATCCACAGATTATGGAGACAGAACAAGGCTGAAACCTGAAAATGCTTGGAAAGCCATGCTAAACAGAGGTATCTCTATTTTTCTGCAATGAAAAGCTGAAACTACAATGACACGTGATAGAGTAGTCCAGTAAATTAATGCCTGTGCTCATTTTCAGCACTGAAGTTGCCATCCGAGATACCGAGGCAAGTACTTTTCACTGTTTGGCAAGAGGTTTGGGACAGACCTCGTGATGGTTGTTCCCCAGGAAACTGAGACAGCCCAATTATGCATGCCTCCAGAGGAGCTTCTGCTCCAGACTTCTGAGGTGAAATACTCTCTTCCCGCATGCTATACTGAAATACTCTCTTCTCTTCATGCTTGCTAGGAAAATGAATGAATAACTTTGTGATACTTATTTTTGGACACCCCAAGAGAAGCCAGAGATACAGCCATGCAGATCAATCTTTCCCTGCCAGTGGCTATAAATGTTCCCTCTGGAACACTCTGAATCCCTGCCAGCATAGTGACAAAGAAAATGCACCAAGACCAGCAAACCCTTGTAATCCAGAAGCACCGCCCCATTCTGGTGAGCCCTCCATTGCCCCATCACCTAACCTAGTAAAAACCCACATGTTCTGGGGTAAAGCTTAACTGCACAGCTTCTTTGTATAGGAGAGGATCACATGGCAACAGAAGCATCTGCACCCACCCCCGCTTCAGCCCTTGTGTTTGTCCCAGGACGTTGTAGGGGAATGTGGGCAGCTATCCCGTGGTTCTTCAGCGGGCAGCAGTACCCAGATGACCACTGCAGCCAGCAGCATGCTGGCAACATACTCTGGGACGGCGTAACACACACAGACCTGCAAGGAAGAAGCTTCAGCCAAAACTCTGTCAAGGGATAGCTGAAGGACTTGGTTTGCAAAAAACCCAAACTTCCTACAAAAAAGCTGCAGGAACAAAACTACATGCCATCCCCAGCAAGCCTTAGGGACATGCACACACTTGCAGAATTTATAGTGAAAGGTGCATGAAGGCCCAAACTGTACAAGCTATGAAGTGACATGAATGCTCATGTCTGACCATTGAAAAAAATCCCTTAAAGTTGTAACGCAGGCAGACAACAGAGCTATTATGGGCCTGATTCGTAGCTATTTGGCATCAGGGATTACTAAAAAACTTAAACAGGTCATTTCCCAGGTCATTATTTTAATAATAGTCCCAGGTCTGCTAGATGACACACACAGAGGCATTAACCACAGTAAATGTGTTTTGATGCTACTTTTACTATCATATATATTTATAAACAGCACTAATGCAGTACGTTACAAAAGTGCAACAAACACTACCCCTGGCTGTGAGTTATTTTTAAAGGGACCTTTTGGATTAGAATTTAAGTCATGCACTTTGATGAAATAATCAAGATCCTAGAAGTTAAAATCCAGTTTACAGTTCTGTTGTGACATCAAGGCTGAAAAGACACAACCTGGAACCAACTTTAGCTTCTGCTACACCGAAGAGCAAGTAACATTGTGAGGACAAATTCATGTGTAAAAAGACAACCTAGATGAAGCGAGACAGCCTAATGCAACTCCTGGTTACAGTGCTAAATGAGATGACCAACTACTGAAACGGTCATGATGCATGCTGGCTGCACTGTCAGTCTTAGGCCACCACAGTGTCACTGCCTAGGTTTAAAAAGCACTTCTTTCTCAGAAATACTTCCAATAATTACTGTATCACAGCATGTTACAATCATAAGCCCTGCACTAACCTTAGCACACAACAAAACCCTCAGAAAAACAGCTGGATGCCTCACAGATAGCATACAAAAAAGTTCTACTTAGAACACTTTTTGGCTTCATATTCTCACTGATTTTATTTTTAATTTAGTTTTAAGATAGTGCATTTAAAGAGAAGAGTGAAGATTGCTACCTTACGGTTAAGCTCAGTTTTTGTTACCACACACAAGTGGATTCTTATACAAAAGACTCTATAGCAGGAAAAGGCTGTTGTGCTAACAATTTAGAAGAAAACAAGAACTAGAAAACACAAGCATGTCCACATTAAAAACAAAAGGTTTAAAATGCGGTATTACAATACTGAAGCATTTCTCAGTTCCTATAACTTGAGCTCTGGATAAAATACTGACAACTAAATGTTCCTTCCTCTCCCTCTCTTTTAAGAAACCTATCTGTGCTTGCTGGTTGGTGTACAAATAATGCTGATTGAGTTTGGATAAGCAATCCTATGAGAAATAGGGAAGAGTTCTCACTAAGCACTGTTACTGCCTATCTAGCAAGAATGAAGGAATACCATGGTATTTACCACCACTGGAAACAACAGCATCACAAAACTATACCCCTAGAATTTCTAACACATTGCAGAACACTGGGAAACTGCAAATTTTGTCAAAGCATTTTATTACTTCTCAGCAAATGCAAAGATTCTGTTAAGAAGGAAACAGAGGGAAGAAAGGATAGGAAGGAAGGAGTGGTTGCTGAAATTTATTTTCAAGCTACTCTGTGCAAATTTCAGAGAAGAGGCTTGGGGGGACAAGGTTTTTTTGAGGGGGCACAAGAAAGTCTGAACCACAACAACTGAAATTCATGATGTTTTTGGCAACTGGAAAATAGACTCCTCACTTTAGAATGATATTTTCATTAGAACTGTTTTAGAGACCAGCAGATAAAAAAACAAAAATGGAAAGGGCAACTTCAAAAAGGTTCTGCAAAAGTGCAAGATTAAAGTCATTAGACAGTTGGAGCAAGAGACACTTTACAGGCTTATCTGTAAAGTAGTCTCTTCTGGTAACACCTAACATATTTGTTTTATGCAGTTATCCTCCGAAACAAGTTGTCTCAGTGCACTCTGATAAGGCAGCTCAGCCAATCTATTAGCTCTCAGCTGGCCAAAAGATGTCAGCCAGGATCAGCCACCTTCCTCTCACTCATGAGCTCCCGCCACTTTGCTTTTACCTGAGCTCTGCTGCTTATCGGACTACACAGTAATGCTGATTCAACTCATTAATGCAGCAGAAAGTTAACCTAACCAAAAGTCTCTTGTCAGTTCAAGCTGAATCAGCATATTAAACAGTAAACCATGAGAGCTAGGGTATCCAGGGGCAAGAAAGAGCAGGGCTGGGGCTGCCAATTCTGGCAGCAGCCAACCATTAAATAAATTCTGCCCCTTTATCTTTATTGTGCCACTACTTTCCTTAGACTTCTTACGGTTCTGCTGCTTTTTTCTACCAGGGAGATACGCAAATGTTGCTATAATAAATACTGAAGAATAGCTAAGGGAAAAAAAATAGTGAAAGCAAGTAAGTCTTCAGGAACACTTCTGTTTTCCAAAGACTGCAGAGTTGAAGTGAGCCAGCCAGCCACTGAGTTTAACAATAGTTAGTACATACTAACTTTAAACATACTTTAACTGGTTATAAATATATTCTGCCAAAACTTGATTGTGGTCTCCAAATCCTTTTGGACATACTAAATCTTGCTTAAGTGACTCAAGTCTATAAGCAACCTAAAAGCTTAGCACATATTGGGGAATCTGAGAGCCAAATCCCACCTCTCTAGCACTTGCATTCAGAAGGAATCCAGGGAATATCTTTACTAAAAAGAAGTTAACCACAACCAGCTGACATATTGCTGTTCATTTTTAGGACTCCACCCGGCTGTTCTCTGTCCTCTGCTAAAACCTTCAGCTTCCCTAACATTTCTATGACACAGTTACGTGCCAGGTATTAGAAAGAAGTAGTCTTCGTGTTCAAAATTAATGACTAAAGGACAGCAAAAGTTAACAGAATAAATTTAATCAGAAAGACAGCTGTACACAATATATTAAAACTGTCGAGAGAGTTTAAAGCCAATCATTGGGCCACTGTTTCCCTCCCATAAAACACTCTTTACTAAAGCAAAGTATGTAAATTACAGAATTATTTGTGTCTAAATCACAGCATATCATAAGCAGTAGTTGACAGTCATTCTTTACAGGTACTTCAAGTCATCAAAACGCTTTTCTGGCTGAAGATCTCATACTTACTTTTAAACTAAATGGCAAGATTGCCTGGATTTTTTTTGCTTGAAATCAGATTTTCCCCCATACCTTAAAAAAGCCCCTTTCCTAATGTAATTGACACTGAAATCTCAAAAGGCATAGAAATCACAGCAGCTGTCTACAAAACATGTATATTTCATCAAGAAGTTGTACCTGACCATTTACAATAAAATTCTGCTGGTGGGGATTATATCCAAGACCTCTGGAAACCTTTACACTTAACTACAGAATAAAAACTCATGCAGTTGGTATAGATTTCAACTAATACACATACATACCTATACTGGAGGTATAATCGGTGGCTCCAAAGATCAACTCTGGTGCCCTGTAGTACCGAGAGCAGATGTATGAGACATTAGGTTCTCCACGAACCAGCTGTTTTGCACTGAAAAGGAAATAAAATAATAAGCTCAGCAATTAATAGTTTTACAATATTGCAGTGCAGACCAACATTAAGCTTTGGCACTCGTCACCCCTCCCCCAATTCCTAAATGCTAAAGTACCGTGTTCTTCTAAGTTGATACAAGCCACAGACTCAATGATTTACTGTGAAATCAGTCCAATCCATCAAGCCACTACCTTATACTGACTACAATCTAGGTGATGTGTAGAGTCAGATTTTTGGCTGGCAGTTGTCTTTTGCCAGGTACAAAGGTTTGTTTACGAAGGAAAAGAGGACAGAATACGGTTCGGCCAAATGTAGTTACCTTTTAAGCTTCAAAAGCTCTGGGTACTCACCAGAACTGAGAGGTTTTTTTTTTATTATTATTATTTTCCATCAGAATATTCTGGCTTTTTGCTGTTTAAGGGAGTGTAGTATGAGGAGACAGAGGACAAAATCTTTTAATATGTGATTACAATGGCAAGGTCCATGATTAACATGAAGGCTTCATTTGTACTGCAAAAGATCAGCCACAAAGGATCTAACCTACAGTATTGCCTCAACCACTACCTTTGGAAGAATTTAAGAAAATAAAGGAACACGAGAACACGTTTACTTTTGGAACATGAGTCTATGAACATATTATACTTCTTCCTTAATTAACACCAAGTGTTAGATGGAAAGGAGCTGTAAGACAAAACTGCCCTTTCAGAAATATGACATACAACTAAGTAGGCACCAAACCCAGCTGAGTGGCAAGCCAGCCAAGTCCAATGTTCCAGAAACTCTTCTCAGCCTTCAGAGAAGAAGGACCCTCACCATCCATTTAGCCTGCTTTAAAAAGTCTCAACTTTTCTGTTTTCTATGTAGAAACTACAGTTAACAAATTCCCACTGTTAACACAGAGGCAGTACCACCTTTTTATGCAGTGTTACTTTTGACTTTCGGTGCGATCCCTATTTTGCTCCAACACTGGTGAGGTAGAGCTCAGGAGGAGATTCCCAAGCCACCAGGCATGACGATGCCCTGCTTGAATAACCATCTGACCTTCCCACTCGCTACAGGCAAGCAAATTTAGCAACAGCAGCTTCCGTGACCTCTCACACATAAGCCCTAACTATTTTAGCCTGCAAAGTTATAGCACAATCTAAAGACTCAACTTTCCCAGAGAGAAATCTGTCTCCTGTCTCAGTGTAGATTCCCAGAATTTCTGTATTTAAGATGACAGCTGGACTCCAAAGGTGATTCACTTGAATGGACACTGGAAATAAATGTACCACTGGAAACTAGGATACAGATGTCCACTATCTAACAGCTTCAACTAAAAGTGTTGCTTTTAATCTTCAGCCTCTACAGTATTGAAATATTAAGTGAACTGGTACACATACAAGTAGACTAATAAAGTGGAACATGAGCCTTTTTAGTTTACTGTGCCACTGCACCTGTATTCTCTTCCCCAAATATATTTCACCCTAATATTTGGTTGTATTTTTCCACGGCACAGTATTTTCCCTATGTGACAGCTTATTTATTTTATTAATATCTGCATAAGTAACAGGCTTGAATTTTAACTCCCTCCTCTTAATATCCTTTTCCAGCTCCCCCCCCCCAACTCGTTTTAAGAGGAAAGCAGAGTATCAACAATTTCTCTTTCGCAACTACAAGTGAAGACCTTCTGAGGAACACAGAGGGTTTCTTTGCAATATTACACCCACGTTCACTTTGAGAGAAGCTGTTTTCACCAGGCTTCAGGCCACAGATGCGCTTACCTTCCAAAGTCACAGAGTTTTAGAACAGCTGTGTCAGGGTCCAGCAAGAGGTTCTGTGGTTTTATATCCCGGTGGCAGATCCCAAAGGAATGGATATAGGCTAAACTCCGGAACAGCTGATACATGTACAACTGGAACACAGAAACATTGTATAAGGCATGCTTTCCCAGTTGAAACAGGGTAAACAATTATTTAGCACAAACTCTTATTAGAATAAAAACAAAATCACTCAAAAAAGACCCTGCTGAATGCATATTAGTGCTCTGAAGATGGGCAAGGCATTCACATACCTTCCCCACCCACCTTTTGCCACACACACGCAGTTCAGATTTTTTCATTAGTCCCTCCCAAAAATGAGCATAATTAAAAAAAAATTATGCATTTATAAATAATGGTAGTCATAAAAAACATACAGAAAATAAAGGTGTTTCAGTTTGCTTTATAAATCAGCCTCTTCACAGAAATTAAGTATTCCAGGTTATGTAAGAGGGGGAGGGGGGAAAACCTACAAAGAAAACCCTTTAGTTGATGAAGTTATTAACAACATATTAAATGTTGCCCAAGGACTGTGGTAGCGTCTCAGCCTGTCACTTGAATGAATCTCCCAGTTGCTCTTGGTGAGGGAACAGACTCATTTTAATTTCAAATCTCTGGGCAAAAAGAGAGGGCAGATAAAAACAACTGTTCAGAGTAATTTTATGCAAGGCACAGCAAACAAGTACGCCGAGGGAGGGTTTGCTCTGCCCCTATCCAAGGCTAACGCAGCCCCTTCGCAAGGAAAAATACAGCAACAGAAGGTGTTACGAAGCCAAGAGCTTCTCAGGGTAAGATGAAAGGACAAGAGGAGGATGTCCACGTGCTGGAGCTACGCAGTATGGAGAACGGCTATGGATAATAAAAAGCTGTTGGACACAATAAAGGTTGTCTAGCATACACAATCATAAAGACCTGAGAAGCCCTGTTTCAAGGCTGACAGCAGGCAGCCAGGTTATTTGTTATTTTTGTTGTGTTCCCCCCCCACCAGGTTCCATTAAAAAAAAATTAAATAAATAAATCAAGCTACAGGCAGGACATTGTACTGGAGTTGCAACTCCACGTTTTCCTTTTCTAAGCTCTTTCTCCACAGTTAACCTTTAATGGTCTGTAAAACCATGTGCAATTGCTAAGATATTGCTGTCAGGTCATGTTTGCCTCACTTTCACCACTATCTTTGTCTCTTTCTCTCTCCCTTTTGTTGTTCGTTTGGTGGGGAAGGTAGGAGCAGGAAGACAGTTGCTTGAATTTTGGCTCTAGGTCTTTAGTTTTCATATTTGTTTCTCAAAGCCACAACTCTGCACAAAGAAAAGCAAACAAACATGTTTTCCGAATTGCCTGTTCTAGACACATTTAAGTAGGTATTGTGCAAGTGTATTGCAAAATAATCCAAAAGATTGCTCTAACTTGAGGAGTCAAGTCAACACACGTGGGATTTAGAAAGTATGCCTTTCATCTCCACACAGCAAACCCAAAATTTCCAAGAATTTCTTACAGCATGTTAGAAGTTACAAATAAATATTAACAAAAAGATTACTAGAAAAGCTTCCCTGCAGTTCTTTAACAGCTTCTTTGTTACCCAGGGAAAAGCAGTTCTCTGCCTGCCTAGGTATCAATCAGAAGTGAACAAATAGGTATGATCCGACCTTTGCATAGCCAAGATGTCTGGAAAATTGCAAAAGGTTTCATGACATCAAGGTAACATGATCTTTATAAATACAGGATTATGAGAAAGGCCTGCCTTGCCAGAAAAATAAAAACAGCCTTCCAGGCTACCTGGAACGGGAAGTCCCCAGTATCGAGCAAGATGAAAGAGCCCAAGCAGAATTTTCTCTGATAGGACAAATAAGGACAATTTTTCGCAAGATCCCATAATGAAGAGCAATTAGGGCAAGAGTACGGACAGAAGCTATATAAACAATTCATTAAAAGCTAGGCTAACAAATTTTGGGTAGAACATAACCTGAAGACATGCTGTTCCACCAACAGACCAAACAGAGTGACCTTCCAGTATAAAGTCTTACTGCTGGATGATAACATTCTGCGCTTTCTTAAAAACAGGTATCAGTGCTGGCTACTGCAGAGACATGCCATTTACAATTTATGCATATAGAGTTATGGCACAATACTTTGTTACTGGAATAACTACTATTCATAACCTTCATCTTTGTAACTTTCACCTTCTTTCAATTAAATTGAAGTTCTTTAAAATGGTAATGATTTAACATTACTTAAAGAGGAGTATGGAGAAATCAATCCGAATTAGGACTATTTGTAGATAACTTACATTTAAGACTACGTGGATGCCAAGTTAAAAAGTTAACATCATGTGAAAACATGATCATTCACCGTCATGTGTATTGTGGTCACCACAATGCATGAAATGGAACGATAAGATTCAGATGGGTCCCATGTTTGACAAAAAAAGAATTTTTTTTCTGGTTTAATTACTTTGTAAAAGATGACAAAAGATGCAGACAACTTAAGTGAGGTTTTGAGTCTACAATGTGCATACAAACTTCTTACCTCACCTAGCTCTTCAAGAGCCACTGAGCTCCATGTGCAGGGAAGGGGACAAAAATATGCCTTTCATGCCCACAGCAGAAGCATATTAACTCTTACTCATATGCCAAGAAAGGGGGAAGATAACAGATAAGAGAACACTATTCTTCCTGACGTCCTCTTTCAGTTCCTGACCTTTGTACTGCTGTGTCTTCATCATCTCAGGAAACTGAAGCTGCTAATCTGTCTGGTGTCAGTCTCCAAGCTGCTTAAAAAACAAAATACTCCTCCCACACTTGGTCTCCCCCACCCATTCCAAGATTTTTGTAAAGTGTGCTTTACAGCACAGTGCTTGCTTCAGGAGTGCTTGCTTTAAGACTCTTACCTCTACTCTTCCTTCAATGTAACAAATAATCATTCTAATCTTTTTTTTTTCCCCTTGCCTCAAGATGTACATGCTCCTAAAAATGTCATAAAACTAATTATGTCAGAAAAGAGGTATCCATGGAGTCTATTCCTATAATATCCTTCTTCATCTAACCACATCTATCAGTTACCTACCTTGACATAAATCATAGGGAGTGTCTGTTTGGCCCGACTATAATGTCTGGCAACTCTGTATACTGTTTCAGGAACATAGTCCAGCACCAAGTTGAGGTACACCTCATCTTTCTGAAAGAGAACACAGAAGAAAAGAAAAAAAAAAATCAGCAATAGATTTGAAGCATGAAGTACAATATAAGCACTCAGAGAGCCAACAGGGTGAGAAAGCAGTGGATGTTTTAAGTACATGTCTTTAGTGGGTGTGTGAGCTGCCGCCAAACTGTTTTTCCTTTAGGCTTTGCACTTGTGCACTAATACGTAAGTCAAACTTACATTTAAGGTCACGTTAATTAATATGGTCTCCAACATATGGCATTTTCTGATTATAAATGCCGACACGGATGTAATTGTTCTGGCCATTCAATATTTTCATTAGGAGATATTTCAAGGTGATACCTGCATCGCTATTTAAAGCGGTCTATTAACCCGTTAGTCCCTTCCTTGCCAAAACCCAACAAGTGCAAATTTAGAAGTCCCAAACTCACAACCCACAACCACACATCAAAAAAGTTTAAAAATCCTGCATCTTTTAGAAATGTTACTTTGATCTTACTGAATTTCTATTAAGGGATTAATAATACATATTAGCCATTCATACACAGTAAGCCAGTGTTAACTTTTGTAACCATTTTGTTTACACACATTTTTGATGTCCCAGCTACCTCCAATTTAAACATAGGAACTTATTCATGGCAAAACAGAACAAGACAAAACCAAAGACTCAAGTATGGCTTTTAATATCTAGGATCAGGTTAGAGGTCCATGTGAACGTAACACAGTAACAAACATAGCTTTATAATAAGGTACTTCGTTACAGAATACATTAGCAAAGGAAAGAAGGAACAAAGAGGAATTAAATGACAAAGTACTATAATCACATAGTGCCTAATTGTGGAACTGAGAATTTTCAGCAGTAAAACAGGTCTTAAAAAGACTTCTGATATTTTAATGTAATCTTCTGTGCAACTCCTATCAAGGCTGTGAATACATTTAATGTTGGGGCTGAGAGGGTGGGTATAATTAACTATATCAACCTGAAAAAATATTTTTGAAAGCTAGGTGAATTAACTAGAAGTAACCTCTCCTGCACTTGCTGCATTAACAGCTAGATCTTTCTATAGAGGAAGACAATACATAGAGACTTTATGTGGATGGAAACAGTACAGAACTCCCAGGTCTTCTGCTGGAGTCCCTTGACAGCAGGTCTACCGTCTACGTATCTTAATACCCAAACCCAAAACTCATTTAGCTATAGCAATTTAATAGTATTGCTGTGACTTAGAAAGTCCGTGTGGTGGTACGTTACTCTCACAGTGTTGTGTTTTCCTTACTTGTCTCTATCCTGCCTCAGCAAAGAGCAGCAGCCTCCAATGAGTAAAGAAATGGTATGTGGTAACACACACAGAAATACACACCTTGAATACACAATATGCAAATAACGACTCAGACTTCAAGCTCTCTGTTCACCATTAAACGCTTGTATTTTCAGGACATTTTAATAGCTCCTACTAATACTTCCTAATAAGCTGAGTCACCTTGCAAGGCCTTGCCTACATTACTATTCCCTACAAAAAGATGCTTTTTTTTTTTTTTAATATATCATTGCTTAAATGACAGTGGTAATAGCACCAGCACTGAGGAAGCGCCAGTGGCCCACTAACTTATATCTGCTCTTATGGTAAGTCTGCAACATAGACAAGGAGCAGTAGCCCCCAAAACCATGCCTACACTGGTGCCATCCAAGGAACTTGGTAACAGCATGAAGGAATCTGGGGAACAGGCTGGAGAACAAAGTTTCTGAAATGGATGAGGAAGGACAACTACCATCAGTGCAGAGGAAATACCAGACTCTGGAACTCCATGGATATGCAAATGCATGCAAGAAAATGACATCCTTGTATTTTAGCACTTTCCCTCTGCAACATGAGAAGTTCTTCCTTCCCTGACTCTCACTTCAAGCCAATAAAAATCTACCACCACTTTTTCTTAGGTCAGAGTTTCCAAGGTATTAATAATAAAATACAGAAAATAAGTGTCCTGAAACATCAAAATTAAATTATGCTTGGTAAGGCAACCTGTACACCAAGAGAAAAAAGTCTCATGAAAATGAATTCTGTTTGATTCAGTCCAGATACAATGCTTGCCTCCTCTTGTAGAGTCCTGGAAAGTGTTATTGGTAACACATCACTGCACAAAGTACTCTGTTACTGAGGTTGATTACTTTCATTCAGGGGATTCATGTTCCATGTATCAAGATTTATATGAGAGATTACAGAGACACAAAAAAAATAGTAGAAATGGAATTAGTGATCTCACTATCCTCTCATACTACAAGGAGACATGTAATTCAGTAATACATACGATCATTAAATCTCATCTACGCTACTTCACAACAGTGAGTTTTGAGAATTACAGAACTCTGTTTAGTTCACACCAACTTTGTTTTACTTTTCTCTCTTCCATTTTGATTTTTATTTTATGTTCTGTTGGAAATGGGACACATTCAATGGCATGGCATGACATAAGCACAGAAAGATCAAGGCATATGAATCATAGAAAGGGAGGTTTTGCACCCACCCACCAATCCTTATGAGTTTTTAAGCTACCCACAGTACTTGAACAAACTACCTGGGTTTCACATGGTATTGCTCCTGTGTAAGTGTGTATCACACATTATCACCTAGAAGGCACGAAGGCACATGAACACCGTTTCCCCAACCAACAAAAAAAGTTTTGATGTACTATTTGATGTACCCAGAACTTTAATATGCAACTCCAAAGGCAAGGCTTATGGTGTTGACTACATAAGTAGCTGCATACTCCACTCCTACCACAACTGACACTTCAGAAGTGCCCTAAATGACTACTTGAATGAATTGAAGATGATTCAAGTGTTCTGACCTACCTCCTCCTGATGTAACCTGGCACAAACTGATAAATGCTCAGAATACAGTTTTTAAGAGCCCTCACCCTTCTCTGTGAGCATGAACTAGGTGAAAATAACATCCAAGTTACCTGGATTCCCCTCAAGATTTAGTACGAGCTAGAAAGCAGTCATGGCCTGACAAGCTCTGAGGATGATGTAACCTGGTTTGCCTACCTCATGCATTCTTCCTAAACACATATTTTTCCAGTGACCCACATGTATTGCAATAGGAAACAGGGTTAGCTCAAAGAGCTTGCCAAATGAGGGCAACTGCTTGAGGATCAAGCGGGAGGATCAAGGCTTATCTTTCCATTACAGGAAGCCTTTTTGAAACCTCACCACGTATTCTACACGTGACTTGTTTCCACACTTCTGTTTCAAAATCGCTGGGCTGGGAACCAACCAAGGTACCCTAACTGTCAGGAGCACCTCTGAAATGCCTCTACAGAGAACAGAAAGGTCCAGAGGAGAGAGCATTGTATAAACAACAGAAAGCAATCACAAGATGTCATTTAATAACTCACTTCTCCTTGTAGACATTGGGATTGAATAGATTATTAGCTTTCCTTAGCAGGTCAAATGTTTATGTGCACTCATGTTCTCCTGTGTTTGCTGCTGAAGTTATGACCATATACTCTTTAAAATGAAAAAGAGGGGAGGGCAGGGAGCCAGATCCTGAAATACAGGATCAATTGTATTTCATAAGGATTTTGATTTTAGCAATGCGGCTCATGTAGCTGCAATTGCCTCAAATGTTAGGAGCCCCTTTTTTGTCACTTGGCAGACAAATCCTCACTGCTCTGAAATAAGCCAGAGCAAAATAACCACAGTCTTGCCACTGAACTGCTCTGTACCTCTCAAGCACTGACAATTCAGGCACCACTTCACTTTGGTTGGAAACACTTCGTATAATTAAATACTAATACAGACTATGTAATAACATGAGGCATGAGAAAGGCTAGGACACAAGAGCCAAAACATTCTACCAACTTAATATTCTTTGTATCAAAAATTGGAGATAAACCAGGTTGCAAGTACAACTACACTAGCACATGAGCATTACATGTTATGTGGCTGAAGACTGAGTGAAGACATTACCCTACTGACACAGGAAAGGCTGCATGGAGGTCTCAAACTCCACTTTTAAAACTCTTCTCTCCTTCAGCCCACACAACTAATCTGTTTTAAGCACCATCCAGTTGAGCTTAATTGTGGCCACAATAAATCAACAGCTACTGAATTCAAAGATTTGCTCTTCTGGATTGTTCCTTGCCAGGAAAGTACAAATATTCCTTCTCTGTGATCTTCCCCGGCCTCAGCAACCCCCAAATTAACCCTGAGTGGTTTCTACCAGCTTTAATTCATGTATCTCTCACACTACATTTACAAAGTCCACATACAAAACTGCTATCAACACTAGTCAGTCACAGTCCAACTATTTCTCCTATTTACCAACATGATGATAGAAGCCAGGTAGTTCATACATGCCAAACACCAGACTGAGGGCAAAAGGAGAGAGGATCACAGGGTACACTCTGAAGAATAGGTAAGCATCTAGTAAGATGTTAGATGTTCTCCTGAACTGTCAGTTCTACCCGGAATCTACGGAAAATTTCTCTGAGCATCAAGTAATAGGATAAAAAGGTTAAAACATTATCCTGGTCACTCCTT